ATTACATAGACACTATACCTTAACATCTCCATTACAAAGACACTATACCTTAACATCTCCATTACATAGACACTATACCTTCACATCTCCATTACAAAGACACTATACCTTAACATCTCCATTACAAAGACACTATGCCTTAACATCTCCATTACATAGACACTTTACCTTCACATCTCCATTACGTAGACACTATGCCTTAACATCTCCATTACATAAATACTATACCTTAACATCTCCATTACCAAGACACTATACTTTCATATCTCCATTACATAGACATTTTACCTTCACATCTCCATTAAATAGACATTATACCTTAACATCTCCATTACATAGACACTGTACCTTCACATCTCCATTACATAGACACTATACCTTAACATCTCCATTATATAGACACTATACCTTCACATCTCCATTACATAGCCACTATAGCTTAACTTCTCAATTACATAGACACTGTACCTTAACATCTCCATTACAAAGACACTATGCCTTAACATCTCCATTACATAACCACTATACCTTCTTAACATCTCCATTACATAACCACTATCCCTTAACATCTCCATTATATCGACACTATACCTTCACATCTCAATTACATAGACACTGCACCTTAACATCTCCATTACATAACCACTATCCCTTAACATCTCCATTATATAGACACTATCCCTTCACATCTCCATTACATAGCCACTATAGCTTCTCCATTACAAAGACACTATACCTTAATCCATTACATAGCCACTATAGCTTCTCCATTACAAAGACACTATACTTTCACATCTCCATTACATAAACACTATACCTTCACATCTCAATTACATAGACACTGTACCTTCACATCTCCATTATATAGACACTATACCTTCTCCATTACATAGACACTATAGCTTAACATCTCCATTACATAAACACTATACCTTAACATGTCCATTACATAGACACTATATACTTTCACATCTCCATTACATAGATACTATACCTTCACATCTCCATTACATAACCACTATACCTTAACATCTCCC